AAAAAAAAAAAAAAAAAAAAAAAAAAAAAAAAAGATGACTGGTAAGGGGATCTTAACCCTTGACTTGGTGTTGTCAGCACCACGCTCTCCCAAGTGAGCTAACCGGCCATCCCTATATAGGATCTGAACCCGTGGCCTTGGTGTTATCAGCACTGCACTCTCCCGAGTGAGCCACGGGCTGGCCCCCAGTCAGTTTATTTTAATCAATCTTTTTCTCTTAGCTTTTTACTCTTGTTTAGGAATGACCACATATTTTTATTTTTAGTTATGATATAGTGGACAAAGCAATTATTTTCAGAAATGGATAGATAAAAAAGTAATTTGTAAAAAAATTGTTAATACATTGTACAGTTTTTTATTAAAGACTACTCACTTATCTTGGAAGGTGATTGCTGTTTTGCTTGAAGAAGATCGTTTGGCTGCTGAACCCAGCTGGAACCTCAGGGCCCAGGACAACACCCTGAATTTTTGTGATAGTTCTTCTCAGTTGAACACGGGCCTGCCTTTCCTTCAAAGTAAGGCCATTTTTGAATATGGCTTTACATTTTATTTTAATATGATGGAGTTTATGTATATAAAACAGAGAAGTATGCAGTTTCTGCAGAACTCGAAAGTGAATGGTTAAGATTTTTTTCATAAATGTGGACATTAAATTTATGATTACCAGCTTTCATAAGATGATCAGTGGAGAGACATGCAGTAATTTAAATTAGTGAAGTTATTTAAATGAATGCAAGTGGAAGTTTCCTATATTTGTTTTAAATTTTTTTTTTTTTCATTTAGTTTTTTTTTTTTTCTCTTCTTTTCTTGAAATAGAGTAGAGGACATAGTTGGAGCAGCATGAGAGAGTGTTTAGGTCACAGTTGTATTAGTTTTGGTACAGTTTAGATATAAGTACTCACTACTTAATGTAGATATACTTGGATTTGTAAATTAGTCCATGGTTATAGACAATAAAATGTGAAACAAATGAAGGACCTGATATTAAAAATAAGGGTAATTGCATGTAACTGTTCTAATTAGTTTAAACAAACAGCATTTATAAGTCTAAATTTAAACTTCCTAAGCTGGTAACCTCTTTGCCTTCAAAGACATGGCCAGTGGGGTAGCTGATTGCTTCTGTGGTCCTGGTTTTTTTGAGGAAGAGACAGGAGTAGGGTGAGCCCAGCAGTCACCCCCTTTTCAGCAGGCTGTGGTGTTACCATGCTTCAGGACATGTGTGAAGCCAGGGCAGTTGGTCCCACTTGTTCCAGACATTTCTTCTGTTCTGCCTTATATTCAAAGATTTAGATTCATGTATATTTCTCTGTCTTTTAATATTGACACACTAAAGATGTGCTGTTCTCAAGAAGCTGATGCACAGCACAGTGACAGCAGATATAGAAAAACTATATGTATATCTAGAATCCTTCATAAAGAACAGTGTATGTATGTTCTTAAAGGATTTCCTACATCTGAAAAGAGTGGAGGTTTTTCTTGTTTGCTTATTTTTGTGTTTTACTAAAATGAATATTGAGATAAAAGAAGATGAGTTGGAGAAAAGAGGTATCTGACCGTGAGTAAGTCATCTCACCTTTGTGGACTCAGGATGTGACTCACATTATATCCCAATGTGTGGTCAGATATGGTGATGCTTCAGCCTTCGTAGGATCTATGTAGTACCATCAACACTGTGTGATGCAGTCAGTGATGGCCATTCATTCGTTTATTTGACAAGTATTTGCGAGTGTCCATTGTCTGGGCACCCTTGTAGGTGCTGAGATTCAACAGTGAATAGGACCAAAGTTCTGACCTCCTGGAACTTACATTTTGGTGGGTCAAATAGACTATGAACTGGCTAAACAGATAAAATATATAGTATATTAGTAAGGAGAAAAAATAAAGACAGTTTCTGATTGAGAAGGCCTTACTGTGGGTGAAAACCAGAGGGAGATGAGGAAATGGGCCACAAAGAGATTGGGAGCTTCCTGAGGAAGGGTCCACATGTGCAGGGCCTGAGGCTGGGCCACCGTGTGTCTTGAAGAACAGTGAGGAGGCTGGGGACCAGAGGGAGATGAGGTCAGTGTGGTGACAACAGAGCAGATCTGGTGTTGGCCATCATCCGGTGTATTATTTCATTTCTGCTGCTTACAACAAAATACTTGGAACTGGGTAATATGTAAGAATATTTGTTGCTTACAGTTTCAGAGGCTGGGAAGTCCAAAGTCCAGGGAACACATCTGGTGAGGGTCTTCTTCAGTGGTGGCTTCACAGGAACACAGAGTCTCATGTGGCAGAATGGTGGAGCAGAGAGAGACTGACCTCCTCATTCACTGTCCTTTTAAAGCCACCAGAGCTACTCCCATTATTCCAGGATGGATCAATCCATTCCTGAGGGTACAGTCCTCACAGTCCAATCACCTGTCCAAGACCTCACCTTTCAGATCCACAATAGGATTTCTCACCCTCTTAACACTGTCACAGCAGGAACCAAGCCTCCAACACAGTACACTTTGGGGGGACACAATTCAATCCATCATATCCAGTCAGCAAAACTACAAGGCTGGGCCGAGCCCGTGGTGCACTCGGGAGAGTGCGGCGCTGGGAGCTAGCAGCAGCGCTCCTGCCGCGGGTTCGGATCCTATATAGGGATGGCCGCTGCGCTCACAGTGCTCACTGGCTGAGCGCGGTGCGGCTGGTCTCAAAAAAAAAAACCACAGGACTTATGGGGAGTATGGGGTCAGGACACCACACTTGAAAACTTTGCGTTGCATAAAAATAGGAACCCAGTGAAAACGGTGGCACGGTTTTACGCATGTTAAATGGTTGAGAGATACACGACTATTACAGTACATATGGCACGTTTCCTGGGTTAAGACCTGAAGTTTGCTAGTGGAAGTGGGCCTTGAGCGTTGCAGCTGTGATTGTGACCAGGTAGAAGGAGGGTTCCCTGCAGCCAGAGGGCAAGTTGTGTCCCCAGCTTGCAGTGAGCTGAGCTGCCGGCACAGTTTTCTGCACTCACCTAGTACCTCCCAGCAGTGCTGTCTAGTTCTTCTTTGACTAAAATCCTCGTCAGCCTCTGACTTCCTCGTCACTTCCATCAGCATCTTCTGCTGATGTGCGGGAGTTGTTGGGGCAAGACAAACACCACCAATAAAGTCTTGGGATTTAGTTCATTCACTGGAATTGAGTAAGTTCTAGAACAGAGCTCACCTGTAGCTAGCATTTGGATACGGCAGCATGCTGCCATATGATGCTCAAAAAGTTCCTAAAACTAGTGTCCTCGCAGTGTGCTACAGCAAGGGGATCAGTCAAGTTAGATTATTTCCAGTGTATTCCAGCTCTGGGGTCAGCTCCAAGCATGTGTTGAGGCAGCGCAGTTTCCATGTGAATGGCTAGTAGATCGGTGAGTCGTGCTGTCCTGGGCTGCGATGTACCAAACCTGAGGGAATTCTCCTTGGACAGAGTGTTCAGGTGAGTGTTCAGGCTGTGGTAATCGTCAAAACCCAGATTTCATGTGTGTATGGTTTTGAAAGGACCACATTTGTTTCTTCATGCAGCTGAAATTTAACATGGTTTCTGGCAGATCACTAAAATGCAAAAATATTTTTCTTATCTTATCTCTAGACCGAAAAGTATCCTGCCTGCACGCTTCTCAAGTTCAGAGGCAGACGGTGGTCACTGTTCACGACTTACCTGAAAAGGCATCTGCCCCCCCACTGGACAGCAGATACGTCCTCTGTGTGTGGGACATTTGGCAGCCTTCAGGGCCCCAGAAGGTTCTGATATGTGAGTCCAAGGTACAGCTCTGGAGCAGAGTCGCACGCTTGGCAACAGGGGCGGTGGACAGACAGTGAAGGCGCAGAGGAGAGGGTGCGGGACACGGATGGTGAGAGTGGAAAGGCCGCTTTCCTTCCCTCACGGCCACCCTCAGCTCAGCGCAGCTGTGACAAGACACAGGATGCTTTGTTTTGACTGTGGAAATTCTTAGTTCAAAGGATCAGTTGAAACTGAGAAGCCCGGGAACGTCATAGAGTAGCCCCTTAGGTCAACGGAGAATTAGGTGACGAGTGCAGGTTTAGTTGTAATGAAGACATTAGCCGACCCAGGCACAGCTCTGGGATCCTAGAGGTATATTTTTTGGCTTATATGGTTTGGGTCCTGGATATTTTAGAGATTTCTTAAAATGGTTTGGAATGCTTCTGCCCGTCCCTCAGTCCTTCCTTCGTCACGTATTTTCCTGCCCCTGGCTAATGGTGCGTAGTTTGAGGACCACACACGTACTGTGGAAGAGCTGGCCTTGCACACTTCTTCCTTTTTATTGGGAAAATACATATAAATTGAATTTTCCTATTTATATGTTCCTTAGCCTCAAAGCCATTGATTTTCACAAAAGCTACAGAGAAGAATAACATTTGCAGGTACCGGTTTTGAGGGCTTGAAAATAATCACTTTTTGTAATGCAAGATGTAAGTATGTGACAAAGGATGGGATTGCCGTTTTTGAAGTCCAGCCAGATGAGTCAATGTCCCCAGGTGTGTGCTAGGGACCTTGTGTTTGTGACCTTAACGACCCTGCAGGGTGGGCTTGTTATCCCAGCTTTCCATTTGAGGAAACCGACACTCAGGTTAAATTTTTTTTATGTGCAGAAGTCTACATTCTGCTCACCACGTCCCCCACCTTCCTGGCGGAAGGTTTTAGAGAGACACCGTGTAGGTGGGAAACAGCTGGGCACCGACTCAGCCAGCTAACTTCTGTGAACATGGTTCTGTGAAAACAGTTTTCCGTCATCAGCTTTCTGTGTTTCTTTTTTAGGTCACATGTTGCTGCTTTAGCCCTTCTAAAGCATTTCTGCTGTTTGCTGGCACAGCACATGGCTCAGTGGTTGTATGGGATTTAAGAGAAGACTCCAGAATTCATCATTATGTGAAGCTGAGTGATTGTTTTTGGACGTTCAGGATGTCGACATTTTCTACTGGTCAGTGTCACCTGCCTGCGACCACGTGTCTTCTAGAAAGGCTGTGCCAGGCTTGAGGAAGGGAGTTTAAGTTTATTTGCACTTATTCATTCAGCTTATCTGAGAGGCATTTGATAAGGAGAAAAGACAGAAGTCCATTCAAGTCGTGCTTGTCCATTGGCCAACAGTGACTTGAATTTTCTTTCTTACTGAAAAAATCCTGAACGAAATAACTTTTAGTTTTAAATTAGCTTAAGGTGTGTTGGTATGCATGTGCTCCCATGGCAGGTAGCTAATACTTGAAGTACTAAGTGAAATTAGTTGTCTGTGTGGGGTGGAATGGACCAGAGCAGTGGACAGCCTGGTCCTAATTTGATCAGGTGAACAGGCCATGCCCTGCCACACCACGCACACCCTGACCACCAGGGCAGACACCCAGCAAGCACTTGCTGTGCTCTAGGACTTCCTCCAAGTGCTTGTATACACCATGCCACTTAATTCCTGTAGTAGCCTGTGTCCCTGCTTCTCAGAGGGACGAAATCTTTGTCTGAGGTCACACTGACTGCATGGCTGGCCTGCACTCAGACCTGCTTGTCTGATTGACACCACGCTCCAACTCTGCGCCCTTCGCTGACTGGAACCTTCCTGTGGGTCTGGAGGCAGCGATTCCTGTCTCTGTGTTGTTCTCTGTTCTGCTTGGGAGCCCACCACACCTGCTGCATGAAGTTTTGTGTGTCTCCTTGCCCGTGGCCAGTGGTGTGTCTTCCGTCCCTGCAGCTTTGCTTTTTTCAGATGTAAATAGATGGGACCCTACAGTAGCAGAGAGTGTTTGAGGTTCCCGTGTGCTGCTGCATGTTGCAGACGTTCATCCCTTCCTTGCTGCATGCATCCCCTTGGGTAGAGGTGCCTTGTTTATCTGTTCACTGGTCGATGGGCATTTGGTTAATCCCAGTTGGTGATTAGAAGGCAAGTCTGTATCAAAGAGCCTGTATCTGAGTGCTGGCACCATTTGTGTCCAGCAGAGCAGTAGAGTTTCAGTTACTCCGCATCCTCACCAGCATTTGGTATTATCAGTTTTGTTTTGTTTTTTTAATTTAGCTATTCTAATGGGCATGTAGTAGTATCTGGTTGTGGTTTTTAAGTTTCATTTCCTAACGACTACTGATATTGAGCGTATTTTTTTTCCTTTTTGTCTTTTTTCGTGACCGGTAATGGGATTGCAACGCTTGGTGTCGCGCCCATACCGCGACCGG